TGGGTACCATATTGGTCAGGAAGTCTGGATGTCTTCAAGAACATGGAGAATAATTTTAAAATATATTTCTTTCATATTTTCTAAACATCCTAGCAGCAATTCAAATCAGACAGACTTTCAGCTGAGTAAACTACTGAGAATTAAACAACCTAAAGCAAGCACTGCCCTGCTATGCAGAGTAGCCTTTTGAATGGATTCCGTAAAGGTGACATCTTTCCTATAAACATGAAGATAGTTTCTGTGTAAATCTCAAGGATTTTCATTTAGGATTTCAAAGCGAAATTTGGCAGATGAAGAGGAAGAAAGTAAGAAAAAGATGGAATTGGAAGAAGCAGTTGATTTTTTGGTCCCAGTAAATGGAGAGCATTGAAATATGTAGAGAAAGGTTTGGGTGAGATGTAGTCACGTTGCTGTGTGTTCCCATCTGGCACTGAATGACACTGGGTCTGGTGCATGCTGTTGTAAATTAACAGATATGCACATAGGTGTTCTGTGTATAGGATTAGTTTTCATGCTTCCCCCCACTTCCCTGGAGTCCCTTTTCTGCGTGGAAGACCTTTTAAGAAGTCTGAAGAGAAGCAAAGAGAAAAAGAAGGCTTAGCCTCTGACTAGTGCTTCTTGGTATATTTTGTGCAAACTGCCAGTAAGGGCATTAGTGAGTAGTCACGGGCATAGATTCTTATCCGTTAAGGAATCCATCCATGAGGGCAGAGTGCTGATTTTTTTTTTTTTTTTGGTGTGTGTGTGATGCTCTATGTAAAAATGAAATAACTGTATTTGAAATTGCTAGCAGACCACTTATTTTTAACTACCTCAAAGTCAATTTGAAATTCTGTAGGCACAGAAAGGAGTGGTTGACTCAGCCTTCACATCCTCATGGATGCAGATAAGATCCTGCACCTCAGTGCAGAGAGAAAGCTGCAGTTCAGAATCTTTAAAATGAATAGCTTGGTTGACTTAAGTTGCTGAGCTGTGACAGTCTGAGTCCTTGCCCAAGACCCTGCTAAAATCTGCACTGCTCTCAGGATTAGGCCTAGCTAGTTTAAGCTACTAGGAGTATGTCCCCACCTCTGATTATAAGTGAGTTATTGCAATGAATCTCAACAGCAAGCATTTTGCTTGAAGCGCCTATCAGCTCTGGCCTGCTTTCTGATCGTAAATTGGCCCTGGATGGTTACTTGTAATATGCTGTTTAACACTGGAATGTACATTTTGGGAAAGGATCTCTTTGGGAAATACCATAGTCTCTATACTTTCAAGCTTAATGCCTCATGCTCGCTCATCTAAATTTATTATGCTGCATGGGTTTAGATGGGGAATTTTATAGAGGAAGTTTGAGCCACAATCCCATTGAAATGTAGGGAGAGCCCAGGATCTCCTTCACTTATGTTATAAAATTTTAGGTAAAAGCCCATTGCAGAATGTTCAACTTGAAGTAATTTAGGGCTGTGTAGATGCCAGGTGGAGTTACCAAGGGTTCCCAAGGTATCAGAAGCCTGACGTCCACTGCAAGTCAACACGATTTAGGCTTTTCTCTGTATCTTTCAGTCACTACCTTATTTCTTCAGACACTGAAATGTGTTTTTAAGTCTCACCTCTAGTATTCCTGAAAATCCTGCCCTTTAGCTTGTGCACTTTGCTGTTGTTTGACTTCACCACCCCATCGCCCAGCTGTAACTGAAGCAGGACTGCAGTTACCATTGTGTATTCCTTTCTGGCACCATCTAGTGACTCCAGAACTAGGCTTCCAACCACTACTCTTTTCCCATTTCTAAGCAAGATGTGCTTTCCTTTGGCAATAGCTTAAAATTCGGATCAGTGCAGATGTCGCTCTCATGAAATAAACTCACCTTCAAGCAATGGCTGCAAAGTCTTTTGGGAGAAAGCTTTGTAGTATGGCTCTTGTACTAACAGTTCAGATTCGTAATTCAAGGTGCAAAACTGCCAAAGCACATAAAAAATAATGTGAAGATCTTGGTTATAGATATTTTGTTACAGTAAGAGTCAGGAATGGGTATGTGTGTGTGTCTGTTTTAAGACTGTCATACTCTTGAGCATCTTTTCTAGTCCTAATAAAATGGCTGAGAATGAAATGAGCATACTTAAATTATAGAATGATTCAGGGCATCATGTTGTTAATAATGTAGAGAAATGAGATATAAAAGCTTTTACTCAAGCATACCCTAAAGCGAATTTAAGTAGAGCACACAGCTATGATGCTGATTGTTTTTACAGGTGTTGGCACCATATGAATTAAATGAAGAAAAAAATGGTGAAACATTTATGACTCATTAGAATTATGTGGTTTTCTGTCCTGTCCTAACAACTGAAAAAAGGTGTAATTTACATTTGCAGCCAAATGGCGTGAAGTAACATTATACTTTACCGACATGAAAAGAGGAGACTTCCAGATGACTACTATTCTGAACTTCTCTAGTTCTCAAATGCTGGATTTTCAGTTTCTCATGTGGACTTTTGAGAGCTAACATTATTTCCCCATTAAAAAAAAAAGTCAAAAAGGAATATGGTAACTTTAGAACCTATAGAACATGTGGTTTCAAGGAACCAAGGGCCATTCACTAGTTGCAACACCTTTACAATCAGAATGTTTTTCCTTTTCATCAAAGAATACACTTGATAGATCCAAAGAGAGCCACATCCATGTATTTTTTTAAATAAACTCTGCACCCTCCTTTTCCTCTTTCCTTTAATTTTTTCTATTAGAATTGTTCTGTTGTAGATCCTAAATATTTACATGAAGGAGGTATTTTGACAGGCTGATCTATAACAGGAAAGCAACAAATAAACAAATTCATGTCTACAGTATTTTAGATCCTGGTTTCCTGAGCTGCTAAGTGTTTATTTTTCCTATTGTAAAAACCTTCGTTGAAATACATTCAAAATGGAGTTCACATGGCAGCTTTCAGGCAATATCTAATGTTCTAACATAGCCTTAATACAAACTTCAGCTTCCCATACACTGTGTAGTTGGCTGAAAAAGAAAGCAGCTGATTTATCAGAGCCTCCGTGCTGTAGATGAGTCTTCAGAAAAAGAACATGTTGTACTTTGCAATTGAGACTTTTTTGCAAACACCTAATAAACCAGAAAAGGAAAGTTTTACTGGGCTTTGTGAGCACATTTTTCTCTTCTCACTGGAGCACCAAACCCAGTTTGTAATCCTACTTTCATTTATTTCATTCTCCCCTGAAATTTCTCATAGCACAAACTCACTCAATTCTGGCTGGCTAATTTGCATCTCATGGCCTGCAGTATCTCTTTAGGAGGTGAACTATTAAAAATACATTAGCCTGGTGTGGATAGTAATGGGCCAAATGCTGCTGGTTTTGAAGGCAATCTGGGAAGCCTCATGCTCTTTCTGACTCTTGATAGCTATACAAGCAAGTTGTTTGCTTTTTCTGTCCTTGGACTTTAAAAATTCTAGCAGCAGATGTAGGTGAGATTATTGTTCTTCTGAAAGTCTGGGAAGTTCTTTTCCAAGCTTGCTCTAATCTTTAATGTTACCCTTATTTCTGTTCTGCCAGAACTGTGTCCTATCAGCATCCAAAAATGTTACACATAACTTTGGCTTGCTTACAGAAGATGATCCAACCACTAACATTTGCCTTCTGTAGCTGAGCGCTGAAAGAAAAAAATAATCCACATTTGAAATGTGAGACTTTGCTGCTGTCAGTTTCTGGAGTTGATTATTAGGACTGTGATTTTTATCTACTCACTTGTACAGTAATTAAAAGCAATTCCCTCATCAGTTATCATCCTGCGAAGCCAGCTTTTAGGCAGTGCTTGATGTACAGTTTATTAACCTAAGCCTACGTTGAAGGAAAGGTGACATAGTTTAAAAAGTAAGAATGAACACATCTGCTCTGAAACAAAGAGCTGAATCTAAAATAGATACTTACTGTTAAACCAGCAAAAATGGCAATGTGATTTTAATTGGCAAAGTAGGAGTAATTACTTGGCTTGGGCCAGGTGTACACCTCCATTCTGTCCACTCCCATCTGTGTCCTTTTTTACGTGGATTATTTTCTATGTGGATATATCCTGTCATGATGGAGTAGGTGGTTAAATAATTAAGAAGGAAATCAGGGAATCAATAACAGTTGCATGCTGAAGAGGAAGAGCTATTCAGCTGCCTGACAACCTTTGCCACACCTTCTAGCAGGTATTGATGAGTACAAATGCGTATCAGTGTCAGCTTCAAATCCAAGATATTTGATGTTAACTGGATACTGTGCCTCTAGCTGCCAACATTGTAACTGAGGACATCTTTATTGCAGGAAAGAAATGTAAAATAATAGGCAAGAATAAGCATGATATTTACCTGTGATAACTTTTCTGGATGGGGGCTGGAGACAAAATATGAGGCTGAATGAAGGCAAACTGAGTGAACTCAACTGTGGATCTATGACATTGGACTTCTCTTAACTGCTGAAAGTGATATGGAATCTTGTTATAATACTCAAATATTAGAAAGAAAAGCCATTGAGAGAAGAAAATTGAAAGTGGAACACAAGTCCCTAAAGCATTATATGGACCTAAAGCACCAGCATGGGGATGCCTGAGAAAGGGATGTAGAAACAGCTCTGATGTAAAGATGCAGACTGCACTGTTTACTGATGAAGTTGTGGTTTATCCAGGAAGGGGAAACAAAGAGGTGAAAATCTACTACTGATTCTGCTTCTTTTAAATGCATTCATTCAAGGCAGTCTGACAACAGCATGGTGCGTGACAGACAGGAAAGCAATGTGCAACCCATGGTCAGCCAGAGAGAAAGCAGTAAGTGCCACAGAATGTTGTGCCCACCCCCAGGAAGTGAATGAAGAACTGCATGGATTTTGTTTTAAATGGAGCTGAACAGTAATCCCAGGAGATTTAAGAGCTGAGATCATGCAGTGGATACATATTTCACACCTGGAGATAGAGACATGCCTGAGATGAGCCAGGAAATGTATCTACAGGCCAGGCATGAATACCCAGTTGAAAGCATATATGGAACAGTGCAAGCTGTACAAAGAATATAGTGATTGACAAGAAACGCCTCATGGAATTCCAGCCCAGCCCTAGGAAAAGGTCAGAACAGACTTGTCAATTTCTAATGAAAGAAACTTAATGGCACAGTAGATTAATATCCCAGTTTTTGGAAGATGCACAGGCAAGAACAATGATCAGAAAACTAAAGGTACAGGTTTTGAAATGTGTGATAACTCACTCACTGGGACCGAGTGAGAGGCTCCTGATACTCTTCATTTAAGCATTTGAAAAATTTGCTAACTTTAAAAACTTCTGCATAAGATTTATGTTTCTGAAAATACACAACACAATAGGAAGATGGCAACAGCCTTGACAGCAGCCAGGAAACTGATGGCAGTGTTAGATGGATAGGAAGGGTGTTTGGCCTGGTTATTTTGAACCTTTTAAATGCTAAATGTTCCCGTGGTTTAAATAGATACTTCTAAGGAAACCAAGCAAGTGCAAAGGACCGAAACCCCAAAGGTTACTCTATGCAGGAAGGCACGTATGAAATTAGTCATTATTATGAAAAGTAACAACAAAAAAATTGTTACTGGGTGCAGGATGTGAAATGAGAAGAATAAGCAGGAAAAATGAAACTCAAGACACCTTACTGTGACTTGAATCAAAGATAGCACCAGGGGATCATAGTCTGTTAGGCTAATGTAAGCAAGACAAAAAGTATGTGAAGTGTGTGATCAACACAGAGGATCAATATGGCCGATTCTTTTGAGTGCCCTCAATAGTAATAGAAAACAGGGAAAGTGAACGGTACAGAGACAACTTGGTGGCTTCATCATTGTCATTTGGTGGTGTTTTAGCTACTGCAGATTAGCCTGCCTGGCATCCGTTTGCTACCCTGGTGGAGTGTCAGTCGACTTTAGGTCCTGCGTCATCTCTGCTATTCCTGTGCAGATGTCCTGGATGCCTGACGAGCTCTCAAATGGCACCAGGCACCTGTGTGTCGGGCAGGAATCCTGGCCTTTGCTTTATGAAGCAACACGTTCTTGAAGGGCTACAACAGTGTGGTAATGGCCACAGCCAAGTATAGCAGCAATGAGCAAGCTGGACAAATCTTTAAACAGGTAAGCCTGTGCAATAATTATGTTCTGCTTGGGTCTTCTAAGGCTGGCTGTGGGCTGAGCCCTACAGCTTCCCGCCTTGGCCGAGAACGGATCACCTGTGGGGAGCTGTGTTTCCCAGAGCAGATGGGAGCTGTCGGTTCATAGTCGGAAATGATGAAAAGGGGTACAACATGTAACAGCTCCCTTTGGGCAGGAGAGATCGGGGAGGGGGATAGGTGGGTCTCTCCAGCCAAAGAGAGGATATCACAGATAAAGATGCTTAAGGAAGATGCTTTAACAGGCAGTCAGGTGTCTGTGTAAAACACCCAGAGGAGAAAGCAATTAAAAGACCTCTAGTTGATTAAAAAAAAAAAAAGTTGAAGAAAATGCAGTTAGTCTGAGAATAAACTTAATCACCAAGGTGCCCTTGAAGTTTATCAGACCACCAAGAGGTGCAATATCCTATCCAGGCAATGAGTTCTCAGAAATACCCTTCATCTAATCTTTTTTTTATTATTTTTCCCTACCCTAGGACGATTGACGTGTTTTGGTTTGGTTTGGTTGAAAGACTGAACTAGCTTGCCAGAGGGAATTCAGAGGAAACCAGAACATTTTCCCAAAGAGAAGGTAAAGCCCAGCCACACCTTACAACATCAAATCTTTAATCGTGTACCTGCCTGTATAGCACCAGCAATATTCAGCGTTTCTGTAACATCATTCATACAAGAATTTCAAAGCACTTCATAAGCACTAATTAATCAAACCTCACAAACACTCAGCAAGCAGCAACTTTGCCCACCAATGAAGTGTAATCACTTCTAAAATGGAACATGATGGAAGTTTGATATCTCATAACATGATGCAACAGGTCAAGGCAAGTAGAACAGGAGCAACTGAGGGCACTTGGGAAGTACCCATCCTTAAACAGCTTTGCAGATACAGTGCTTCACTAGATATGCTTTGTGGAAATATTTGGTAAAAATATTTTTGTGAAAAAGCAGTTTTTGTATTGCACACAAAAGAACATCCATCTCTCTAACCAGTGGCACCTGCAGTCCTAGAAATCATGAAATAAACCACTCTGATGTGGTTCTTGACCCCCAGGTGCTGCCACCTGAGATTCCCCAGGGAGAGAAGGAAGCGGTGTCAGAGCCTGCAGGGTTCTTCACCCAGACGGCGGTTGGGTGCTGGAACAGGCTCCCCAGGGAAGTGGTCACAGCACCAAACCTGCCAGAGTTGGATGGTACTTTCAGGCACATGGTGTGACTCTTGGGGAGTTCTGTGCAGGACTAAGGGTTGAACTTGGTGATCCTTATGGGTCCATTCCAACTCAGCATATTCTGTGATTCCTCTACATTTTAAGGGACCACCTGGCACCTTTAGTACCTTACCACTCCTTGATGGGTCTCTCAAAACTGTGATCCCCACCTATAAAACCTGCTCCAGTGCAGAAGCCACAGGGCCTAAATTAGTGCCTTCTCTTGGCCCAGTCAAAGCTGTCAACGTTCCAGTTGACTACGATGAGAGAAAGATTGGGCTGGCTCAGTTTCTTTATATCTCTTTATATTTCTGCCAATCCGATCTTGAAGGGCGGACTAATTCAGATGTATATATGCTGCTAATACTCTGAACATGTGTCTTCCCAATTAAGCATATGTTGAACAACCTTCATCTTTTCCTGTCTGTAGGCAAAACATCTCTGTGCTTTAGGTCTCCTGTCCCATCACTTCTCATCTGTTTTGGAAGCAAATGGGACAGGGACTTTTCTTTTTTTTTTTTTTTTTTGACATCATGCAATAACATTATATTGTACTTGTGTAAAACAATGTGCAAACCATTAAGTACAATAATGAAATGCTGGAAGTTAAAACAATAAGCTTGGATGATTTAAACCTTGCTACATTTTAAATGTGCAATATGTTTGCAAGAATGAAATTGGTCTTTGGGGCTGAATAAATAGTACAGATATCCAGCCCGTTTTGGAAAGAACAAGTAATACCTAGGAACATAATTTAAACCAGTCTTGTAATTAGCTGGTCATTTCACATTACGAGAGTTCTGGTCTTGTAGTTTGGCTTTATAAATGACCCATATAGTCATTTTGTAATTATACATGATCCATTTAAAAAAACCCAACAAAACCCACCAAACTGTTTGGATGAGAATTTTTCCTTTGTCGGAAGAGTGAAGAGTAAATTATTTAGATGGATTATGTAGTACGCTCCCCATTAATATGCCTTTTCAAACTTATTTAAAAACCCAAGATCTGGAGGCTGCTTTAACCATACCTTCAGTTTATCATAATTCTTCCTGACTTCACTTCCTGATCATGAAGTAACAAAGTATTTTTAGTCAAAACTCATCTCTCTGTACTTCCACTGTACTTCTGCTAAATAATGAATATTACTGTGAATGCAAAAGTATGGCTTTGTTCCTGATTATGGTATAAACTGCAGAAGCAGAAGGTCTATTACAGAAGTTCAGTCAAACTTTTGCAGAACTGAGAATTGAGAACCTAGCAGGACTTTACATTTCCTTGGAAATTGTCTTCTGTCTGCAGCACACAGTATGAAAAGTTTCTGTCTTTCACACAGGGTCAGCCATGTACCTTGCCAGTATTGAGATCGAAATCAGAACTGTCTTAAGGCTGTTATCAGTTACCATCATCTTCTTAACACCCTTTAGAAATCATTTTGGTTCCCTGGAATCAGGGAGAGTTTTTCCTAGTCACGTTTCCCTTATAACTTCACTTGTGGTAGGTTAGTAAGTGATAAGCTGCAGAGGAAGGCATTGTAAAGATGCCATGTGGGGTTTTTTATTTTTGTTTTTCAAATCAAGCATTCTGCCAACAGAGCATGATGGTACAGGTACTTCATTAAACTGACTTTTTGTACACTTCAGTCTTGCTGATTGCTGGAAAGCAGCTACAGCAGAAAGTTGGGAGCTGGCCCCAAATTTGACTTCTATACAATTAAGTAAGGATTCTTTAGTAGGCTGAATTATATCCTCAATATCAGCATGTCTGCAAATAAAACAGTGAAATAATTTCTAGGGAGATTCTAGATTGTGAATCATGATGCTGTGTTGTGAAATTTTGGCTGCAGTAGCTGTCATTTAAAAGACTTTCTGAATGCATACATTTCAGTCCTCTAAATAGATCCTTTTTACCAACCTAAAAATTAAGAAATTATTCTTTCTTTTATTTATGTTTTTTTATTCTCTTGACTTTACAGCTTCATTGAATGTACACTATTTATAGATTTCATGCAATAAAAAATACACTGTGTGTATCCACATACATATGCTAGAAACTAAAAGTCGGGGGGGTGAGAAATGAAAAATTCATAGCCTTGGATGTTGAGAAAGTCAGACCTGCTGTATCCCCTTGAAGTCACCTAGGTGAGGCTTTTTGACATAATGGAAGCATCAATGAACTGCTCTTGATTAAAAATTTGACAGGTTGACACTATCCCCCTGAACTGGAAGACTGGGGTTGAAAGAAAATTTTAATACAAACAGAATTTCATTAATACCACAGTTTGCTATAATGGGGGTCTTTTTTTCCCCCCACTGTTATTTTTGCTTAGATGGTGTCATTACCTTTTAAAGGGGAAAGACACTATGGTTAAGCTTTGTCTCAGAAACAATGTCATACTAATGGAACGGGAGCTTTCAAGTGAAATATGAAACAAACTGTCTGGAATTGTTCTGATTCTCCAGGCACAAGCAAAACCAGTTTTAATAGGATGGTTCCTTTAAATGCAGGCTCTATTCATTGAGCCAACCCTTTTTTGTAGAGATAGTGTGGGAATTCATTAAACAATATAAAATAATCAATATAAACAGAATATCAGAATGGCCTTACATCTCCCAAGATCCAAAAATGTAGCATCACTTCACTTTATTACCTTTTGAGAGCTTTTTTTTTCTAATGTGGTAACTGTTAGACTCTATCTGCTCTGCTCAGTGTTAGGGCTGTCATGATGAAAGTGCATAAACAATATAAATAATAGTTTTTGGCACATGAAAGGAGCTCTGAGTGGATTGTTCTTTTGGAATCTAACTGTCAGGATTTTTGTTTGACTTTCAGGGATTTTTTATTATTATTTTTTATGTTTAATCCAAAAATTCTTATAATCTTAAATTGATTATTTGAAAAAGCATCATTCTTTTAACATTTACATTGCGATTTAATATTTATAGCTTGATGCCAGGCAATTCTTATACAATTTAGTAAATATTTATTAAATCAGACATGTACTTAAAGACTTATAGTTTTGTAACCACTCTCTAGTGCTAATACTCTTTGAAGCGGAATGTCAGCCTGCAAAAGTCAGTTTCTATATTGTCTCTCCAGTCCTTGTCTGCAGTGATCCTCCTTGACTTCTTTTCACTGCTGAATAGTTAAATAGTTTAAGTTCTTTCAGATCCTTGATATTATCAGGTTATATAACCTCCCACTCCATTCCCATTCATCATCTCTGCAATGTAATATTTGCACATGGATTTTTGACTTTGTATTTGAGATCTGCACAGGTCTTTAAAGCTTTGATTGAACTCACAGCATCTCTCCTCGTGATGCATTTTTAATTTCTCATTTACAGGCAAGTAAATTGAGTTACTGTGAGTTTACAGTCAATATTTTACTGATACCATTTAATTGTAAGTGTTGAGTTTTTAGATGCAGAGCTTGAGGCATATTTACCACGTTAATTACAGACTCATTCTAACTCTTTTTTGAAGATAAGTGTTGAAGTACTGACTCACAGTGGAAAGCAGACAGTGTACATCTTCTCAGTTTGGAAACCTAAAACTAAGCCATCTAGATCAATGAATTTGATGCAATGCTATAAACAGCTTATCCAGTCACCAACAGTCAGTAATAGAACTTGGGCATCTGCTTCACATTTTCTTGTTCTCCAACCATGCCATTCCTCTCTCCTTAAAGCATCAGTGACAGATTAAGTAAAGATGGACATGTGAGGAGTATGGGGAAGAGAATGTTGAAAACAAAGCAATTCAGAGCATTTTATCCTTTGTAGCCAAGTCAATGGCAGGTGTTCTATGTCCTATTACAGCCTTGATAGTGTGTTATGTTGCATCATTTCAGCATACTTTCTCTCAGACTGGATGACTAAATGTCAGTTCAGATAGCAGTTGTCCTATCCAAATGATCCACAGTTGGATGGCAGCAGGTGAACAGAAGACTGTCCAGTTCAGGAGCCTACCCTATCACTCCATACATGGAAGGCTACAGATAGTCCAGATTTTTTAGTGGAAGGAAGCAGATATAAACTAGGAAATATTTTCCTGTGATTTTACAGTTCTTTTGTGATTGAATATGGGTCTACATGTGATGGAGAAAAGAGCTCTTCAGAATAAATATGAATAGTTCTGATTATCTGTCTTCCCATTTATTGACACAAAATGGGCAGTAGACAACGTTTTATAAGCAAAAAATGTTTCACTACGTTAGGAACCATTTCTTTGCTAAAACACCCATGAAATCAGCCTCTTGACATATTCCCCAGCAAGTTAATCTGATCGTGATTGGGTCTGAGTGAAATGGAAATGAGAAAATTCCAGGAGCATGTGAGCA